AGCTTAATTAATAACAAAGTTTCTACAGCTTAATTAATAACAAAGTTTCTATAGCTTAATTAATAACAAAGTTTCTACAGCTTAATTAATAAGAGGAAGGCAACCTCTGGAGACGCCGGCCAGCTTCCTGTCGTGGATGCGCGTGTGGTGGCGCACCTGCAAGACAACCAAGCTTTTATTGCTCTATTTATCTTTTAGAATATTTAAAACTATGAGAGAAACATTATCAACTTATTAATCCTTTAACGATCAATTCAACTCAATTGTAGAAAATCTGAGACAAATATTCTTAAATTAATAATCCTTTAACGATCAATTAAAGTCAATTGTACAAAATACTTAGAGAAATCGTAAAAAATTATGCCTCATCATAAAAAAATTACTCTATATTCTCTTCCCTGAACCAACAAATTCCAGGAGAAGCTTTTCTCCCGCAGCAGAAACCAACGTTGATGGTTAAATTCCATTCAATAACAAACTAGACATGATATTCTATAGGCCTTGATATAAATAAAAGGATATAAATTATATCCTTGATGATATAAATAAAAGCAGCATACCGTGGACGATATGCAGGAGCATATGTTCAGTCTTAAAATGCCTAGCAAATTACTGATCAGGCAATAAGTAAGATCGGGTTCCAAAGGCCGGATCCCTTGTGAATCAAGTCAAGAAAAGTTCAAGAATCGGCAACAGGCCATGGGCCTATTTCTTCAACGCCGACACTTCTATTCTATTCTAGATGACGTGTTTCTTAGGAATGTCCACTCATGTGATGCGTTTCTTAGGAATGTCCATTTATGTGACGTGCTTCTTAGGACTGTCCACGTAAGTGACATGTTTCTACGGAATGTCCACTTAGATGACGTGTTTCTTAGGAATGTCCACTTATGTGACGTGTTTCTTAGGAACGTCCACTTAGGTGACGTGTTTCTTAGAATGTCCACTTAAGTGACGTGTTTCTTAGAAATGCCCACTTAGGTTACCTCTTTTTTAAGAATGTCAACTTAGGTGACGTGTTCCTTAGGAATGTCCACTTAGGTGATGTGTTTCTTAGGAATGTCCACTTAGATGACGTGCTTCTTGGAATGTCCACTTAAGTGACGTGTTTCTTAGGAATGTCCACTTAGGTGACATGTTTCTAAGGAATGTACACTTAGATGACGTTTTCTTAGGAATGTCCACTTAGGAGGCGTGTTTTTTAGGAACGTCTACTTAGGTGACGTGTTTCTTAGGAATGTCCACTTGTGTGACGCGTTTCTTAGAAATGTTCACTTGTGTGACGTGTTTCTTAGAAATGTCTATACTTAGGTTACGTGTTTCTTAGGAATGTCCACTTAAGTGACACGTTTCTTAGGAATGTCCACTTAAGTGATATGTTTCTTAGGAATGTCCACTTAAGTGACGTGTTTCTTAGAAATGTCCTATTAGGTGACATGTTTCTTAGGAATGTACACTTAGGTAATTTATTTATTTTTTCTCTCCCTCAAGTCCCCCCTCCCCCAAGTCACCCTAGCTCCCCCTCCCCCAAGTCACCCTAATTCACCCCTCCCCCAAGTCACCCTGTTCCAAGATCTCGATGTTGATGGACAGCGGCAGCTGTGCAGGTGGCAGCGGCTGGTCCTCAGCGGCCACCACGATGCTGGGCTCAGCGGTGGCAGCATCAGCGGTGGCAGCGTCAGCGGTGGCAGCTCCATCCACCAGCTGCTCGAACGCCTCGCCTGCCACCGAGTCACGGAACCTGGAGAACAGTTCTAGATCAGAACTTAACACTTGTATGGTCTGTGTGAAGGAAACACTTGTATGGTCTGTGTAGAGGATAACACTTGTATGGTTTGTGTGAAGGTTAACACTTGTATGGTCTGTGTGAAGGAAACACTTGTATTACCACGTCACCTCCCGCAACACGTCATGCCACCAACCACCATGCGACCACCACGCCACACAAACACCACACGACCACCACGCCACACGCCTGCCTTCATGCCACACGACCGTCATGCCACACGCCACAAGCCTGCCTTCATGCCATACATCCACCACACGACCACCATGCCACACGACCGCCATGCCACACGTCACGCCACACGCCACACCTGAGGTGCGAGTGGACGGCGGCGTGGCGCTGCAGCAGCTGGCGGTGCTTGAAGACGACGCCACATGTGGCGCACACGAAGACGCGGCCGCTGGTGTGGCAGCTCTCACGGTGGTATGCCAGTGAGCTGAGGTGGCGGAACACCTCGCCACACTCCGGGCATGTGTGCCGCCGCCACATGCCACTGCCACATGACTCCTGGTGGCGGGATAAGGGGTTAAATGGCGGGATAAGAGGTTAGGTGGCGGGATAAGGGATTAGGTGGCGGGATAAGGGATTAGGTGGCGGGATAAGGGGTTAGGTGGCGGGATAAGGGGTTAGGTGGCGGGATAAGGAGTTAGGTGGCAGGATAAGGGATTAGGTGGCATGATAAGGGATTAGGTGGCGGGATAAGGGGTTAGGTGGCGGGATAAGGGGTTAGGTGGCGGGATAAGGGGTTAGGTGGCGGGATAAGGGGTTAGGTGGCGGGATAAGGGATTAGGTGGTGGGGTGAGGGTTTCTTGTCGGGCGATCTATTATTATAAACAATTGATTTTTCAAAATAATAGACAGTTTATCACTGAACACACATCATATACGGTACCTAGTGATGATACTGCGTTCATTGAGTAATTTGCGACCATGGCAATGGAAGAAAGAAATGAGAGAACTGGAAAAGTTTTTTCTTAATTGTTCGGGCTGAGTAACTCAGCCCGACCCTAACAAAATTCAGGGACAGCCTAGGGTTCGGCCGAATAGTTGTTACACTCGGCGCAGTCATTTTGGGTCTGCTTGGCCATCCGATCGAATTCAGTTTCTGGTCAGAATCAGCTTTCTGACTTTATTTTATAGTTGTCTTAGAGTATGAGAAGAGTAGGCCGAGTCTAGTCATACCGAGCTAGCAAGCTGCACTAGTCACTAGTCACATGCCCTTCAAACCTTAGCTGAGCCGAAGCGGACATAGAGAAGCTGATTTACGTGCTCCCCGAGTCCTAGGCGGTTCCTAATTCAGGGTCGCCACCAACTCAAAATTTTGATAGGGTAGTAACTCAGCCTGAGTTACCTGGTCAGGCTGTGTGTGGCACAGCTCTGTGTGGCTGCGTAGGCTGTAGTCATACAGGAACTTCTTGTCACACAGAGGGCAGGCGTGGCGTCGCAACGCGCCTGTGTGAGCTGTGTTGATATGGCTCTGTAAATACAAATCATTTGCTAAATGTACACAGAAGTATCTGTATACCAGGTATATATTATATAATGTAATGTACAATAATGTATACATTTTCAACACACAGCAAGCCATACAATACGCTTGTATTAGCAACCATGTCCATGCAAGGTCCCCAAAAGAGGCCCAACAATATATTCAATGATATATACAACCAATTTATGATATAACTTTCACTGAGGGACGTTAATGCTTAAAAAAATCAATAAAACTGTTATAGAGCATGAAGAAAGGTTTATTCTGAAACATCACTTAATCTTTCTTTATTGTTTTCAGAGTTTGTATAGAATTATAGTAGAATTTCGTGTCAATTTAAAAAAAACAAGTTATGTTCTTATTTCTTCTCAGGAAATTGTGCATTACTTTATTTCCGCTTAACTTCAACTAATAACATAATCTATTATAATAATAACTATCAACTCACAACATAATAATATACAAAGACTTAATAATAAACAAGTTATACATTGAAGTACGGAAGGAAATAACTTTTAGTTAAGTGATAGTTTGATAGTCACTGCATACACTAGTCACCTCGTAGTCAGCATTAGTCACATCGTTGTCAGCACTAGTCACTAGTCACCTCGTAGTCAGCACTAGTCACTAGTCACCTCGTAGTCAGCACTAGTCACTAGTCACCTCGTAGTCAGCGACTGACGTGAAGCGCTCGTCGGGGCATTTCTTGCAGTGCAGCTTCGTGTCGACGCTCCGGCCGCCGCCCGCCCCGGCCTCCACGATGCCTGCGGCCGTTCCCAGCCATTAAATGCCATTAAATGGCATATAAGCCATTAAATGGCATAAAAGGCGTTAAATGGCATTAAATGTCATAAAAGGCATTAAATGTCATAAAAGGCATTAAATGTCATAAAAGGCATTAAATGTCACAAAAGGCATTAAATGGCACAAAAGGCATTAAATGGCACAAAAAGCATTAAATGGCACAGAAGCCATTAAACGGCACATAATGCATTAAATGGCACAAAAGGCATTAAATGGCATAAAAGGCATTAAATGGCATAAAAGGCATTAATTGCCACAAAGGCATTAAATGGCACAGAAGCCATTAAATGGCATAAAAGGCAGTAAATGGCACAAAAGGCATTAAATGCCACAAAAGCCATAAAAAATTACTAACTGAAAATGCAGAATTTCTTCCAAATTTCACATACTGTATTTCTGAAGTTAATAAAAACGACATTTTAAATGGCAAAAGAGGCATTACAAATTACTTACTTATTGGAAGTGTCAGAAGTTATTACAAACGATATCAGGTATCAAAGGTTCAGAGTGAGTTCAAAGCAAACAAAATTTTTCTAGTAGATTTACACTATAATTAAGCTATTCAACAAAAATAGCTGAGCTATCCAACAGCTTGTTTAGACTTTAATGCAGCAGAAAAGCATCTTAAACAAGCAATGCGGTCTGCTATCAAAACAAATTTAATTCTGTTACACAATAAGTTAGGAGGTCGGCATCATTGTTATTTGTATACACAAGATCATATATACGTCCTGCTCTTGATGAGTCACTATCACTGCACATACCCACGCCAGAGTGATGGTGCTCCTGCTGGTGCACATACAGCAGCTTCTGACTGGTGAACTTCTGTTTGCAGTCCAAACACTGCACCAACGCTGCCCCGTGCTTGGCGCTGCACAAACATGGCGATAGTGACGACTTTGCTGCAAGTATACACCGGTATACAAAGGGTTTGCCCTCTGTATACTTATACATTAACCGAAGTTAATGCTATTCTTACCTAAATGCTTGGTGACAAGAGTTACCATCAGTGAACAAAGGGTTAATCCTCTGTATACGTATACAGTAACCGACGTCAATGCTACCTATTCTTACATAAATGCTTGGTGACAAGAGTTACAGTCAGCAAACAAAGGGTTAACCCTTTCTTATCACTTACCTACCTGACTTATCCCTGACCAGAATTAATAACCATTATACGAGAGGCGGCGATCCATCGTGGCCTGGGGCTGCTACGTCCCAAGCAAATACTAAGGCTACCAAGGCATTAACATTCATCCAAAGATCACCCACACGTGGTTCCTGAAGCGTCCTTCCTTCACAAACAACTTGGCGCAGATGGGGCACTTGTGACGGGCCTTCCTGCGGGGCCCTGGCACCCTTATGGGCCCGGGCACCCGCAGCTGGGGGGCCTTGCTGAGGTCCTCATCCTTGCAGGCCGCCGCCTTACCCCCTTGGGCCCCCTGCGCCGGCGCCTGCAGCAGGGGCGGCTTGACTGTCAGGCGCTGAGTCTGGGACGTGGTTTTGTGCAGGTGTTGGGACAGCGCTTGGTCTTCATAAGAGAACTCGCCTATTTCTGTCATTAATAAAGTTAAGTGATATATTTATATTAAGGATAAGAGAACTCGCGTATTTCTGTAGATAATTAATAGAGTTGAGTGATATAATTTATATTAAGTGTTTAGGTCTATGTTTTCTTCCAATTTTCTAGCGCCTTTTCCAAGTTTATCGTGAAATGCCATCACCAATTTCATGCCTCGGTGCAGTTCACTGAACTTGCTATCAATGTGATGGAAATCCTAGAACTGTGTTAAGAATGACTAGGCCAGCAAAATTTAGAATACCTATATAACAAGTATTAATACAATAATAATTTGAATGAATATATTTCATTCCTTAATTAGTCCAACTTAATTCAACAACTCTAGGTATAACAAACAATTGAGCTCTTTTGGGATTGTCGCCCAAGTGTAAAATCATTGAATATGCTTTCCAAATAATTGATTTTTTTGCACGAACTTATGAAGATAGTTAAATAATTATTAGAGCTTGCCGGGGCTCGAATCCACAACCTGGGCCCTAGCTGCGCTTGAACGCTCCCGCACTTGCGAGGGTTATACAGTAGTATAACCCTCGATTAGTAGTATAGTAGTAGATTATGAAAGAACCGTCGCATAAACTAACCTGATTCGCTGTGGTGAAGGTCTAATTTATTGTCCTGAAAATGTGGGTTCTGCAGTTCTGTGCTGAGCAGCGACAAGGGTTCTACTAGGCAGGACGTATCAAGAAATGAAGATCGTTCTTGCTGTTGTGTCGCGTTACCTTGAGACGATTGTAAAAAGTTCACTTGGGAGGGCTGTTGATGCATAAAGCTTGCTTGGGACGACTGTTGCTGCTGCAAAAAGTCTCTTTGGGACGATTCTTGTTGATGTAAAAAATTCTCCTGGGACGACTGTTGCTCTTGCATGAAGTCCCCCTGGGACGACTGTTGCTCTTGCATGAAGTCCCCCTGGGACGACTGTTGCTCTTGCATAAAGTCCCCCTGAGACGACTGTTGCTCTTGCATAAAGTCCCCCTGGGACGACTGTTGCTGCTGATGAAAGTCCCCCTGGGACGACTGTGTCCGTTGCATGCCGTCGTTGAGAGCAGACGGCAACATCACGGCATAATTGATGCCCACGACAGACGTTGACGGCAAGACGGGGTAGCCAAAATTGACATCGTTGGTCCGCATTGCATCAGGGATCCCTGCGTAGTGGTCGTGCTGCGGGATTTCATCCATCTTGATGGATGCCAGGTTATGATGAGTGATTTCATCCACCTTGATGGACGACAGGTTGTGCTCCGAGATTTCATCCATTTTGATGGACGACAGGTTATGCTCCGAGATTTCATCCATCTTTATGGATGTAAAGTTATGTGTGATTTCATCCATCTTGATGGATGAAAATTCGAGTCCCTGAGCGTCAGCGGCGCCCATGAGGAAGTTGCCTGAGTCTTTGGCAGTCACAAACATGGAAGTTTGCGGGAGCAGCAGAGTTTGTTGTTGCTAAAAACATAAATAAAACCTTCATTATATAAGCCATAAAAATGCCTAATGTTTCCTAACACATTTTTTATCAATAAGATGAGTTAGATCATATCTACATGTGTAATGATGGGTAGACGACAGATGATTTGTAGAAGATTGATAAAGTAACCTCAAACAATGGTCCAGGATAGGTGAAGAGGGAGCTAAGTAGTAACATGGAGCTACAATTTGAGGCACAAATGTTTAGTTAAGCAACAAACTCGGCGCGTATTCATTTAATAGTGAAATTGTCTTTTTTACACTGTACATAATTTGTCTGACAAAGAGTTAAATTGACAGTGTTATGCAAAATAGTATCCCAACTCACAAAACCAACCTAAATCCCCTGATATAACCGAATTAACCTAAGAACCTACAGTAACTTCATAAAATTTAAGATCATCAACTAACCTTATGTGCACTAATAATATAGAATGCCTAGGTACCATAACAGAATTTACGCTTAGAGCATAAAGTACCGCTTGCCCAAAGGCATAAAGTAGCTTGTGCTCAGTCAGTAATGTTATTTACCCTAAGAATGAATTAAGCTAATCAAAGTCCACCTTGATGCTGTCCAGAGCCTTGATGTTGCTGAGGCTGTCGATGCCACGAAGGATGAAGTTGCCATCTGAAACACAAGCCTTCAATCAAGGAGTTATACCCTTAATGATGTGTCACTTAGCAATGTCCACTTAGGTGACGTGTCACTTAGCAATGTCCACTTAGGTGACGTGTTTCTTAGGAATGTCCACTTAGTTGACGTGTTACTTAGTAATGTCCACTTAGGTGATGTGTTCCTTAGCAATGTCCACTTAGGTGACGTGTTTCTTAGTAATGTCCACTTAGGTGAGGTGTTTTGTAGGAATGTCCACTTAGGTGATGTGTTTCTTAGGAATTTCCACTTAGATAGCGTGATTCTTGTGAATGTCCACTTAGGTGACGTGTTTCTTAGGAATGTCCACTTAGGTGACGTGTTTCTTAGGAATGTACACTTAGGTGACGTGTTTCTTAGTAATGTCCACTTAGGTGATGTGTTCCTTAGCAATGTCCACTTAGGTGACGTGTTTCTTAGTAATGTATACTTAGGTGACGTGTTTCGCAGGAATGTCCACTTAGGTGATGTGTTACTTAGGAATGTTCACTTAGGTGACGTGTTTCTTAGGAATGTCCACTTAATAAGTGACGTGTTTTTTAGGAATGTCCACTTAGGTTACGTGTTTTTTAGGAATATTCACTCAAGTGACGCGTTTTTTAGGAATGTCCACTTAGGTGACGTTATTCTTAGGAATGTCCACTAAAGTGACGTGTTTATTAGAAATGTACACTTAGATGACGTGCTACTTACGAATGTCCACTTAGGTGACGTGTTTCTTAGAAATGTCCACTTAGGTGACCTTTTTCTTAGGAATGTCCACTTAGGAGACGTGTTCTTAGCAATGTCCACTTAGGTCACGTGATTCTTAGCAATGTCCGCTTAGGTGACGTGTTTCTTAGGAATTTCCACTTAAGTGACATGTTTCTTAGGAATGACAACTTAAGTGGCGCATTTCTTAGGAATGTCCACTTAGATGACGTGTTTCTTAGGAATGTCCACTTAGTTGGCATGTTTCTTAGAATGTCCGCTCAAGTGACCTGTTTCTTAGCAATGTCCACTTAGGTGACCTGTTTCTTAGAGATGTCAACTTAGGTGACGTGTTCCTTAGGAATGTCCACTTAGGTGACGTGTTTCTTAGAAATGTCCACTTAGATGACGTGTTTCTTAGGAATGTCCACTTATGTGACGTGTTTCTTAGGAATGTCCACTTGAGTGGCACGTTTCTTAGGAATTTCCACTTAGGTGACATGTTTCTTAGGAATGTCCATTTAGGGGACGTGTCTTTTAGGAATGTCCACTTAGGTAAAGTGTTTCTTAGGAATTTCCACTTAGGTGGCATGATTCTTGTGAATGTCCACTTCGGTGACGTGTTTCTTAGGAATGTCCACTTAGGTGACGTGTTTCTTAGGAATGTCCACTTAGGTGACGCGTTTCTTAGTAATGTCCACTTAGGTGATGTGTTCCTTAGCAATGTCCACTTAGGTGACGTGTTTCTTAGTAATGTCCACTTAGGTGACGTGTTTCGTAGGAATGTCCACTTAATAAGTGACGTGTTTTTTAGGAATGTCTACGTCGGTGATGTGTTTCCTATGAATGTCCACTCAGGTGACGTGTTTCTTAGGAATGTCCACTTAAGTGACATTAGGAATGTCCACTTAGTTGGCATGTTTCTTAGAATGTCTACTTAAGTGACATGTTTCTTAGAAATGTCCACTTAGGTGACCTGTTTCTTAGGAATGTCAACTTAGGTGACGTATTCCTTAGGAATGTCCACTTAGGTGAAGTGTTTCTTAGAAATGTCCACTTAGATGACGTGTTTCTTAGGAATGTCCACTTATGTGACGTGTTTCTTAGGAATGTCCACTTAAGTGACACGTTTCTTAGGAATATCCACTTAGGTGACATGTTTCTTAGGAATGTCCATTTAGGTAAAGTGTTTCTTAGAAATGTCCACTTAGGTGACGTGTTTCTTAGGAATGTCCACTTATGTGACGTGTTTCTTAGAAATGTCTATACTTAGGTTATGTGTTTCTTAGGAATGTCCACTTAAGTGACACGTTTCTTAGGAATGTCCACTTAAGTGACGTGTTTCTTAGGAATGTCCACTTAAGTGACGTGTTTCTTAGGAATGTCCACTTAGGTGACGTGTTCCTTAGGAATGTCCACTTAGGTGACGTGCTTCTTAGGAATGTCCACTTAGGTGACGTGCTTCTTAGGAATGTCCACTTAGATGACGTGTTTCTAAGGAAATTCCACTTAGATGACATGTTTCTTAGGAATGTCCACTTATGTGATGCATTTCTTAGGAATGTCCACTTATGTGAGGTGTTTCATAGGACTGTCCACTTAGGTGACATGTTTCTAAGGAATGTCCACTTAGATGACGTGTTTCTCAATGTCCACTTATGTGACGTGTTTCTTAGGAATGTCCACTTAGGTTACCTCTTTCTTAGGAATGTCCACTTAGGTGATGTGTTTCTTTAGGAATGTCCACTTATGTGACGTGTTTCTTAGAAATGTCTATACTTAGGTTACGTGTTTCTTAGGAATGTCCACTTAAGTGACGTGTTTCTTAGGAACGTCCACTTATGTGACGTGTTTCTTAATAATGTCCACTTAACCCTTTCGTGACTGACGGGACTGTGGTGTCCCGCTCAATATTTTACCACATAACTTGCATACAGCGCAATATTTGAGGCGCAGCTAACTACAGGGACATATAAGAAACATTTTTCACCAAAATATAGCGACATCTGGCATCTTTCGTGGTTCGCACCGCAACAAACAGCATTGAGCAATGAGCATCGAGTGACTGTGGGATATGCTACGTTTGTTTTTTGCTCATTGGATTTCTCTGCCAATACGAAGAACTGCGTGATGAACTGCTACTATTTTTGGTAGGTTTATTGCTAAAGTATTGGTAAGTGGGTAGATGTGTATTTTATCAAGTGTAATGCACCTACAATGATTTTATATAGATATATGTGAGTGGGACTAATTCATCCCTGTGGTGGAGGCAGGACTGAGATGTCCCGGTGGCATGAGGTTGCAACGTTATGTGATGCTATGAACTCATTCAGAATGATCTAATTTTGTTGTATTTTAGCTTACTTTATCGATTGAGAACACTCATTATATGTGTTTTAGTCATATATAGCCCGAATTTTTTCATTTCGTTGCATTTTATAATATTTATTGACCGAGATATGTC